AATCGGATGCAATCTATGGAATAGACACAGAAGAAATATTCGTCTTCAACTTGAGCCAACTTGCTTTCGTACGACTGGCTTGAAGTGTTTGGGCACCGGCGCCAGTTGAAGCCTCGAGTCGTCGACTTCCTCGAGGTCGTCGGCGAGGCCGGGAAGACGAGAATGTCCGCGTTGCGACGAGCCACCATCGGGGAGCGTTTTCCGGTCAAGGCTCGAGCCCCGAGGCCGGCTGGTGCATTCGCATCAACGCGACGTCGCCATTTGCTGCGGACGCCTGAGGACCACGCGGCTGCAGGTGGCTGATGGTGATGACGGTGATTGTGGCGGAGCACAGCGTCAGACGAAAGTGAAGACGAAGAGGACTCGACGATGTCAGAGGTCGCACCAGGTCTCTGGGCCAACTTCTCCTCATGCTCAAGCTCCTTCTTCGCTTCGTTCTCTTCCTGATGCCGCCCCAGCTCCTCGGCCTCCTCCTCTTCGTCCAGCTCTTCAGGATTTGCCAGTTTCGCAGCACTCGTTTTGGAGAAAAGACTAAAAGAGGGTGAGGAAAACGAAAAAGAAAAGTGTCATTGAAACAAATTGCAAGGGAAACTTGGTGTCTGAATTCGTAATGAGTAGGTCTTCGAAGCTACCAGAAGATCTTGAATAAGACCTATCCTGACTACAGGTCACTTAAATTTATGAAAGAATGGTGAGATTAATGTGATGAAGAAGTGGCAGTTAAATCTTCCCACAAATATATGAGTAGATATGAAGTTTTCACTCAATTTCGTGTAGCCTTGCCTCCTTTAAAGGTGTTCTCATCCAGGCTGGACTGCAGTGTCAACCTCGCCTCAACTGGGCTCATCAGAATCCCCAACCGGACTCGAACCAGGACAGTGCAGCGTGTAATTCCGACACGTTCATCACCTCGCCGAATTGGCACAAGTGCACTTGGGTCACAGAGCCATGTGAATTGCAAGGAATTCCAGGCCTTTTGCTATATCACATTCTTTGGTGGGATTGTCGATGAAGCAAAGTTATGTTTTCCGCAACAATTGACGACATAGAAATGGGTTGACCTCGTTGTCGCAACTTGGTCTTGTTGTCAGAACGACTTGATAGAACGCACCTAGTCCGAAGCCGTCTGCCATGGTAGTTGTCATGATTGCCAGCATCAGACAGTGGACTTGGTACATTATTAAACGTTTCGCGGATTGGAGGCCCGAGTCGGCTAAGCTAATTGAAAGAGAGGGCTCGGGGTGAATAGCAAGTGTGATGAGGTCACACTCGGTTTGCCACAAAAGGGCACACATTTTGACGCGTGGATTGTAAACAAGTGAGAAGTTGTGATAGGGCGGCAGTGGGATAAGATGGTGAAGAGTAGATAGATAGACAATGACAGAAAGAGGAGTGATAGTGTAACAGTTTTGGCAGAATATTTGTTGAGGGATTGACGAAACGTTTGAGAATGTACCAAGTCTACTGTCAGATGGTGGGAATTATGACAACTAGTAC